GCTTCAGAAGGCAGGCAGGGGCCAGATTTAAGGTCTGGTATGTCCAGCAAGGGAGATTGGACTTTATTCTGGGTAACAAAAGCTGCTGAAATGGAGAGAGGAGAATTTAGTGTGCCTAGATGTGCCAGGCCTAGCTCAAGGTACTTAGCTCTTGAATCTTATCATTCAGCAAATCTGCAAGTAAACATCCAGATCTTCACCTGGCAGGCTTGGAGGTCAGGCTCTGTGTGGTTAAGTGCTTGACGAAAGTTGATGTGGCCATCAAGATGGGGACCATCCTGCTGAGTAAAGGGTGTGCCTGTGCAGGGATAGCTAGGGAGTCCCGCTGCCCTTCTGCTTCCTCTTCAGAACCTGGTACCCACTCCCATTCTCTGGCTCCCACATTTTGCTCCTTCACAGAGCTGGCCCCAGTGTGGCTTCCACCATGGTGGTGGTTCTGTGGCTAAAGGGCTGACATGTCTGGAACTTGCTTTCCTAACTGCCTCCTGGCCAGGCCTCAGTACTTGTCAGAGCTCACCTACCTCCCAGATGCATGTGACCTTGGTGCCCCTACTAGTGGTTAATGAGCTGAGGTTCCCTTCAGGCCTGTTGGGACCCCTGTCTCTGCCGCACTGCCCGTGTCCAGGGTGGGCACTGTGCCCTCTTTCTGCTGGAACAGCATCGATCTTCCACATTGGTTGGTCATCACTGCTCTGGGTAATGTATTTTAATGAATTGTGAGTCTGCTGGACGTGGCCCCAAAGGACTTTTTATCATGGAGGGCCCAGTCCTGAAACCTTAATAAATCATCCGCTATTCACAGTGGGCCACGATTGAACAGGGCAGGGTCTCTCCTCATTGAGTCCTTGACTTCTTTCTTTGGGATAACTGGACTGTCCCTTTCCATTCTTCATGGTTGGAGTGTCTGTTTGACTCCTAATGAGTAAAATCTACCCACTTGACATTAGTAAGGGAAGCGGGATCCTTAATCTCAGAGCTGGCAACCTGGGGCAGGAGTTCTCAAGATACTCAGCCCATGTATGCACCTGAACCCCTGGAATGCTTGTTCTCACCCCCACCTCAGACCCTCAGTAAAAATCTTGGGGAGGGGAGGGCTCTGGAATTTACGTTTTTAACAATCCCCAGAGGAGATAAATTAAAATTAGAAAATAACTATCCTAAATGCATATAACCTAAGCTCCCATATTTATTTCTTTTGTTCTTTTTTAAATGTATGGGATGGAAGCATCTTTCCTTGCCTGCACCCAGGCCTGGGCAGTGCCACTCACACCTCCACAGTTTGTGGTGGGCTTCATCCAGGTCAGCTGGAATTGTGCTCAGAGCTTTCCAAAAACATGACTCGCACATCTGGATTACGGCAGCCCTGGAATAAGGGCCTCTGGGTGCAATTAGCTCAGCCTTCAGGGTGGAGTCTGTGCCTTGGAGCAGCTGCTTGGGAAGTGCAAGGAGCCATTTTCAAACAAAGCAAGTGGGACCTTGAATTGATGGTGGACTTCTCCATTTCCCTAGAGGAATGGGCCCACGAGCGAGGATGGCCAGGCTACCCTGGGCTGCCTGGACCTAGTGTTTCTCCTGAGGTTTATCCTCCTCCATTGTCACCTGTGCTCACCAGGCGGGTTCTTACTCTGTCCTCTGCTCCCTCGCAGTGGGTGTCCAGTTTCCTCTCATCTGAGATGATTTCGCCTCAACTGGCCACACTGGGAGAGCCTGTCCTCGTGTGGAGGACATGTGGGTTAGCTGGGACATGTGGATCTGGTGGCCCTGAGCTTCAGAGCCTGAGGGCCATCTGCCCTCATCCCTTCCACGTCCTTTCTCCTCTCTACTCTCTGTTTCATTCCTCCTTGATCTGCCCGCATCTCTCTCTTTTGACCTTCCTGCCTTAATAGATTGAAACCGACAATGTGTTCCGGCTTCTTGTGGTCCTGGTAAATAGCTCTTAATGTGGCCGGGGTGGATGGGGAGGAGGGGGTGACGAGCATGTGTGTATTGGGCCGGAAGCAGGGGCACTTACCTTCATCTCTGATGGGAGGGGCAGGGACGGTGCCCCACAGCTCATACTACTATTCTGGGGTTGCAGCACAGCCGCCCCGGAGCTTGGATAGACTGGGAGAGTCCTGGGTGGCTTCAGTTTCTCCCTTGATACAAAAACCCCGGTGACCAGGCACAGAACGGCCAGAGCCTGTGAGCAGACTGTGGTGATCCGGAGGCACTGCCTCCTTCTTTGAGGGTAGCAATAGACTTTTGCATTTGCACTAAACATACAGGACTTAATTACACAACTTACACTTCTTCGATCTTCTCCCTTAGCTTTAGTGGCCTGGCAGTTATTGTTCCTGAGGTTGTTGCTGCAAACAGTAGCCCACGTGGGGGTCAATTACCTGCAGAATCAGTTTAATATTGACATTTTCAAAATCAATGAAGAGTGGGGCCTGGCCAGAAGGGCCAAGATAGCAGGTAGCGGTAATCAGTGTGAATCCTCTCTCCCGGCCTCTGGGGACGCTTTCTTAGAAGGCCTTCTTGCCAAAGGCTCTCCTGTTATGGACACAGGAGACGCTGGAGTAGGTCTGGAAGAATGCTCTCAGATCTGCGCTGGGTGGTAATCACTGCCTTCTAAGGATAAGTGGGGGAGCCACTGGACACTCCACTCTTGGCTTTGTTGTTCCCCCATTTCCCAGATCATGCTAGCATAGACTTGGGGTGATGAGGGTGCAGGGGATGGAGGGGGTCACTAGCACAGGGGGACACTCAGGCATGTTATGGTGCAGAGCAGGGCCAGGACCCAGGGATGGACCACCTTCTTCCAAGGCCAGAGGCTTTTCAGACACCAAGAGGGAAAGCAGTCCTTCGGACTCCCACTGACTGGTCCGAGGGGCCCATCCTCATGGGATCCACCCCCAGAAATCTGAGTAGATGAGAGGCTACTGTTTTCAGTACTTTCCTCCTCTAGAAGCAGGCTGTTGGGGTCTCTTTTTTTATGGAGGCACACAACACGAGGGGCAACCTTTCATCTGACAACTGGAAGCTCTTTAGGGACGAGGACAGGCAGCCAAGCCTCAGCTACACCTTAGCAGCCTGTGGGGGCCAGGCACAGGGGGAGGCTGCTGGAGATGCAGAGCTAGCTCAGCCAGAACCCCTGTCCGGTTCGAGCAGCTCTGTCCACTCCCGTGAGCCCTGGCTGTGACCACTGTCACTTGGGGCTGCTGGGTGCAGTCCCAGAGCCCTCGGGGAAACTTGGGGCAGAGAGATGGTTCTGGAGAGTGGCGTGAATGGCCAGAGCACCCAGTACCCAGGGGCATGTGGACGCCCTGCCGGGCATCTCTGCACGCTCTCGGTGACGTCACTTGCTTGGCCTGTGGTTTGTGTGTGTGTTGATCAGGATGTTCCTGTTTTGTGGTTGTCTGATCACTTGTTTTTGGCCGTGGGCTTCTGTATGAGTGTTTATTTTTAGAGGCTGCCACTTTTGGCCTGAGGGCTGATTCTTGGGTTTGGTAGGAGCTTGTATTTTCTGAAATGCTTGTGGCTTTAAATTTTAAGTATTTGTTTTAGGGTACTGCTGTCTTTTATGTGTTGATTCCACTGTGTGTATGTGTTTGTGTCTGGGTATGTGTCATAGGAGAGTATAAAAATAATAAAATTTGTGTAGAATGTAGAATAAAATTTGTGTAGAGAGTAATAAAAATTGTCTGGTCTCTAAAGTTCAGATGGAGTCCTAATTTTAAATTAGTTTTGATTTTAATTTAGGTTTATTTTAGTTAAATTCATTCTGATTTAAACCTGGGCTTTACCAGCTATGATGTATCTGCAGATAAATGATCTTATTCCCAGAACCTCAGCTTCTTGAACGTGTAATGCTCCCTGAGACCCAGGATTAGCATCGTGTTTATAAAGTGCCTGCAGTATGTTTGGCACATAGTAGGTATTCCCTGGCACGTATTCGCTACTATAATTGACATTTGCATGTTTCTTCCCATACCCCTGCTTCTGCCGGAGCCACCCATCTGGCGTGCTCAGCAGCCACACTCATGTGGGTATTGGACTTGGGTGAATTCTGGTTGGCGTGTGTGTCTCTGCATGTCTTTGTGTCTGGTTTTCTCTGTGTGAGTGAGTGTGACTGTGGTGTCTGGGCTGGAGTCTGTGCAGTGTTTGGGGGGGGGGACTTTTTCTCTTGCCAATTGGGGTTCTGCCTTGGAGTGAGGTGACCGTGTGTGTGAGTGCACTCGAGTGTGTGTGTGTGCGTGCGCCTTGGGGCTGCCGCCAGCCTGCTGACTGTACAGGGTGTGAAATCACTGAGTTCCTCAGGGCGGGGGAAGTTCTTCATTCTTGAGTCAGCCCTTTGGCCTTCAGCCACCCAGTGCTCACTTTTTCCTTTCAGAGAAAGTACTGCTCATGGGGTCCCCAGGGCTGCCTGCAGACAAAATGACACAGGGACTCCTCTCCCTGATTTAAAAAAAAAATTACTTTTTTTTATTGAATTCCAACTTGAGTGGAGACAGTACGTGATCTTGAGTATCCAGGATGATTTCTGTGTGTGCAAACACTCACGCTGTCTATTACCCTGGTGGTAATTCTGCCTTTGTATTCTGGATCCCTAAGATACTACCCCACCCCCACTTCCTGGACCCCCTTTTCAGAGCCCTCGTGGGCCCCCCAGCATTCAGAGGGAAAGCCTGTCCTCTTTGACATGGGATCCCATCCTGGCCCAGCCCTCCCAGGTCCTTAGAAGCCAGTGAAAGGCCAGAGCCAGGGTCCCCAGGACCCTCCCCAATCCTGGTCTTCACTGCCCCGTTCCTGAAGCTGGGTATCAGAGAGGCTCTAAAAACCCACGGTGGGGGGTGCATTGTTCTTCCTCCTTTCTGCCTCCTTAGCTCTATCTCGGGTGGTGAGAAGAGTTTTAAGAGCCAGGGAATGGGTGCTCTTGGCTCCTTTCCTGAGAATGGATGTCCCTGCCTCCCACTGACATCTGCTGTCTGCTGTCTCCCCTGTGACTTTGTCTCTCGCAGAGGTGGTGGGACACACCCAGGGGCCACTGGACGGGAGCCTGTATGCCAAGGTGAAGAAGAAGGACGGCCTGCTGGGCAGCACCGGGGCCGTGGATGCCGCGCGGCCCGCTCTGTCGGCCACCCCCAACCACGTGGAGCACACCCTCTCTGTGAGCAGTGACTCCGGCAACTCCACAGCCTCCACCAAGACAGACAAGACAGATGAGACAGCCCCCGGCCCCTCCAGTGCCGCTGTTGTCCTGAGCCCCGAGGAGAAGCGTGAGCTGGACCGCCTGCTCAGTGGCTTCGGCTTAGACCGAGAGAAGCAAGGCGCCATGTACCACGCCCAGCATCTCCGGTCCCGCCCGGTGGGGGGCCCTGCGGCGCCGCCCTCTGGCCGCCATGTGGTCCCAGCCCAGGTTCACGTCAATGGCGGGGCCTTGGCATCTGAGCGGGAGACAGACATCCTGGACGATGAGCTGCCCAACCAGGATGGGCACAGTGTGGGCAGCATGGGCACCCTGTCCTCCCTGGATGGCGTCACCAACATCAGTGAAGCGGGCTACCCAGAGGCCCTGTCCCCACTGACCAATGGACTGGACAAGTCCTACCCTGTGGAGCCAATGGTCAATGGTGGGAGCTACCCCTATGAGTCTGCCAGCCGAGGGGTGCCCGCCCGTGCTGGCCACTCAGCCCCCATGCGACCCTCATACTCTGCACAGGAGGGTTTAGCTGGCTATCAGAGAGAGAGCCCCCACCCGGCCTGGTCACAGCCAGTGGCCAGCACCCACTATGGCCATGACCCCAGCAGTATGTTCCGTTCACAGTCCTTCCCAGATACGGAACCCCAGCTGCCCGCAGCTCCAGCCCGTGGGGGAAGCAGTCGAGAGGCTGTGCAGAGGGGCCTGAATTCCTGGCAGCAGCAGCAGCAGCAGCAGCAGCAGCAGCCTCGCCCTCCTCCTCGCCAGCAGGAAAGAGCTCAACTGGAGAGTCTTGGGCCCAGCAGACCTAGCCCTCAGCCACTGGCAGAGACCCCCATCCCTGGCCTCCCAGAGTTCCCGAGGGCAGCCTCCCAGCAGGAGATCGAGCAGTCCATTGAAACGCTCAACATGCTGATGCTGGACCTGGAGCCGGCCTCCACTGCTGCCCCTCTGCACAAGTCGCAGAGTCTCCCAGGAGCCTGGCCAGGGGCTTCACCCCTCTCCTCCCACCCCCTCTCTGGCTCCTCCCATCCACTGACCCAGTCGAGATCTGGCTACATCCCCAGTGGGCATTCCTTGGGAAGCCCTGAGCTGGCCCCACGGGCCTCCCTGGAGTCTGTCACTCTTGGCAGATCTTACTCACCTTACGATTATCAGCCGTGTCCAGCTGGGCCCAGCCAGAGTTTCTATCCAAAGAGCCCAGCCTCCTCCTCGTCTGCCTTCCTTGCAAACACCCATAGCCCTCCAGGGCCTCAGCAGCCCCCAGCCTCTCTCCCTGGCCTCACTGCTCAGCAACAGCTCTCACCGAAGGAGGTGACTTCAGATCCATCCCGAACTCCAGAAGAGGAACCATTGAACCTGGAGGGGCTGGTGGCCCACCGGGTGGCAGGTGAGAGCCTCTGGAGCCATCAGTGGATATTCCCTCCATCCTCCCTCACCCCTTCCCTCTTTGGTCTTGCCTGGTATTGCCAGGGGAGGTCAAGGCACAGCCTTTGTGCCTTGGCAGGTGCCGCTCTGGCCTGGGCAAGAGACTGCCAGGAGCCCACGAACCTTCATACCTTCTGCACTCATTGTCTGTTTGGTTCTAAGAAAGGCATTGAGATTCAAAGATCAGTGTCTTTCAGTTCCTGCCCTTAAGAGGCTTATGGTCTAGTGAGGGCTTAGGTACACAGACAAATTAATTCTAACAGAGTGCAGTGTGTGCTACCACAGAGGTGGGGGCCAAAGTCCTGGAGCCCGGAGAAAGCAAACCTAGGACTTGATTTATACCTAGGGCTATCAGGGAAAGCTTCATGGAGGTGGTGACTTTGGGGATGGTATACAGATTTTCCAGGGCACAGAGGAGGCTCTGTCTGCATCCGCCTGAAGTACTCTCTCCTTAGATTTCAGTTCTTTGGGGAAGGTATGGTGAGGTAGGAAGGAATACTCTGTAGATAGAACTTCCCTCCAGCCTTCCCAGAGGCACAACAAAGCCTGAGTGGGTGTCTGAAGCCCCTGGGCTCTTATTGCTTGTTCAACCTGGGGGCCCCTATTAGGCTATTTCTGTTTTGGGGGAGACCTAGATCCCCCTTTTTTGTTCAGCTGTTCTGTTAGTCCTTGCTTAGGACCAGCTTGTATGGGAAGCTGACACTGAGACATGAAGTTCCATTTCCCAACAGCGAGAGAGCTGTTCTTTGTGTGGAGAGGAGAGAGTGGGGCAACTTGAAGAACTTATTGGAGAGATAAATGCAAGAAGAGGCAGCGTCCAGGGCCATGTTGAGGGGTCAGCAGGGCTCCCTTCTTCCTCACTGTCCTCAGCCTGTGACTATTCCTGGGGAACAACCCAGGCAGAAAATGCTGTGGGGTTGGCTCTGTTGTAGATAGAGGTGAAGCCCAGGCATGGGCCAGTCAGAGACTTGGGCCGGGGTGGGGGAGGGGGCTAGTGGTTTCTGCCAGGCCCCTCAGCTGACAGGATAGTGGGAGCTCAGGGAGGAGAAGAGGAGCTTGGGCAGCTGACTCTGCCCTTTTCCTAAATTTAGGGGCAGCTGAGTCACCATGCCAGCTGTAGGGAAGGAGGGAGACACCCTCCCTGGTGATGGAAGGTGGGTTTGTGGAAGTAGCCGGGGGCAGGCCAGCTGGCCATTGGGCTAGATCCAGGACATGGGTGTGGGGCCTGGATGCTCAGATCCTGTACTTCAGAGCAGAGCAAAGTCCCCAGCTAAACTCTGGGTAACTTAATGTTGGCCCTAATGGAAGTATTTACACCATGGGAATTGGCTTCACCTCCTCTGGAGAACTGATCTCATAGCCCATTTTTGGCCTAATAGTCAAATCACAGATGAGTAGTTCTGTAACCCCAGGGGTGAAATGCTTCATGGGGCACACCAGCCGGGATGCTCTCTTCTACTTTCACCCACACCTGGAACCCTGATAGGGATCCTTCAGCTTCTTTTGTTGGCAGAGACCCATTTCCTCTTGGTTTTGCTGAGGGGCAGGAATGGGGCCCTCTCAATATTTTATAGAGTTGAGACAGTAGCCTGGAGAACAGTGATACTCTAGTTGCATGGGAAGCAGGATTTTAGGGGATTTTCTCTGGGGGAGTAGAATGTACTCCTTCCCCTATCAGAGTCCCACTGTCTAGCTCTCCAGGAGCTTCCTTAAGAAAAAGCCATACCTGAACAGCCCTGGGAGGATGTCAATCTTGTAGTGGATCTCCCCTTAGTCTTTTATTTCCTACTAGCTTTTGAGGTCTTGACTGTCCACCTCCATATCCTGCAGTTGTTCATGCTTTGACTGTCAAGGGAAGGGAGTGGTGGTGTTGGCATAGTGTCTCTATACCTGAGTCTTGCTATCTTCTCCACCAATTGTGAGTGACTCATCAGGAGAAAGGCTGAGATACTTAGAGGGGACAGTTGATCTGACTCCCAGGGTTACAAAGGGGCCTTGCCCTATCACAAACAGTATTTTTTATGTCAGTAGGTCCTGCTTATACAGTTTCCTCAGGAGTCCTGTAAGGTTTGTATAGGTAAAGGCACTCAGGCAGGATCCATGTGTAGAATGGTCTGGGAGCTAGGGAGGATGGATTTTCAGCACCACCTCTTTCTGATTGTTCTACATTCTTGTGCAATAAGCTTCAACATGAGTAACCGAGGAAGCTCAGATCTGAGGGATAACCTCTCATTGCCATGAACTTGCTTTGTTTTCTCTTGGCTTTTCTCCCTCAGATCTGCCTTTTCCTCCTATGTGTCCTCCACATTTAAATACTGTGTCCCTGGGTCATTCCATTTTGATCCAAGCACTCCTTATATTTTATTCATGGCAGCTTAGATTGCAGAGAATGTGGGGATGGTTTTCCCAACCTGATAAAGGGTGAGCATTAGAAACCTGTAGCACACCTCACACTTTCTAATGAAACATTAGAAGCATTCCCATTACACCAGGGAAAATTAAGAATACCTGTTATCACCACCATCATTAACTTTGTATTAGATGTCCTAGCCAGTGCAATAAGACAAGAAAAGAAATAAGAGTCAGAGTTGGTTGAGTCCAATCAAGTTATCTTGTGATCCTGATTCTGTGACTCGATTGATCTCAGGTAACTGAGGTAATTGTAGAGGTAGAAATTTCAGTGCATGTTGGAAATCAGATGTAGATCTTATCCATAAGTTCTAGAGGAAGGGGAAAGTGAAATGGAACTTTAAAATGAAGTCATTTGTAATAAGAGACATATGGAGAAAGTTCCGTGGGCATGAAGAGAAAGGAGAGATAATTATCAACTAAAGAGGTTGGAAGGAAAAGTTGGATAGGATTTTCAAAGGGGGTGGGGTTATTAGAGACTAAGAATTCATAGTGAAGACAAGAAAGCATCAAGAATGTTTTAAGTACAAGTTAGAGTGAAAGTCTATAGGCTGCATGAGAGTTAAGGTAGCATGAGGTCTGCCTCTGTTTGGTCCTAAATACCAGAGTAAGGATCTTGCACTTACCCGGTGGCAGTGTGGTAAAGCTTTGATGTATTTTAATCAGGGGAGCATGCCAGCATCAGGGCTACAATTTAGGAAGATGTGTCTGGTAGGGGTGGACAGGCAAAATGCAAAGTGGGAGAGACCTGGAACTGGACGATGTAGGCGCTTGTTAGATAGTCTACGTGAGAGGAGTTCAAATTAGGGTACTGACCTTGGAAATGATAAAAGAAGAGATGGATGTCAAGGATGTTGTCAAGGGGAGCAGAACCATTATATTTACATGCTGGTTGGATATAGTGGGTGAGAGAGGGAGAGGAAGACATCAAAGATGATTCTGAATATTTGTGAATAGAAAAAGAATGATGGTTCCATTAACAAGCTAGGAGTTAGGAGGGACATTTTTGGTGTGAGGTCTGGACCTCAGTGTTGGTTGTGTTGAGTTTGAGGTGACAGTGGGGTTTCCAGGTTGAGATTCACAGAAGGCAGTTGAACTGATGTGTGAACTGTAGATTTTGGAGTCATTTCACAAAGGTTACAGCTCTGGGCATGGGTGGATCTTTATGTCAGAGGACATGTAGTGAAAAGGATTTAGGACAAAATGGCCATGAGGGGGATGAAAATGGCCAGAGGACTGAGTGAATGTTCATGGCAGTGAAAGGGGCTGGGATAATGGGTCATCACAAAAGTCAAGATAGGAAGTGGTTTCCAGAAAGGAGAGAGGGAGCAATGTCACTGTGTCGAGATCATGAGGAAGAGGTTGAGAAAAATGCATCGGGACTTGCCAGTTAGGTGCCACCAATGATTTTCAGTACTGATTGTGACAGAGACTGGTCTGTGAGGGGCCAGGGGGTGACTAGAGAGGGGTGCAGACAGCATATTGCCTACTCTTTTGAGTAGTTTTGTGATGAAAAGGAAGAGGATGGTAGCTAAAGAGGGTAGCAAGATGTTGAGAAATTGTTTTGTATGTAAAGGTATTGGGGACTTTTTAAAATGTAAGAACCATGAGGGTATTTTTCGAGGAGAAAGGAAGGCGAGAGGTTGAATATGCTGGGAAGAGAGAAGAAAGCGAGCAAGAAAGAAATGGAAAGAATAGGATCTCTAAGGAGGTACGGTGAGATGGTCTTTTGAACCCAGATGGATACCTGATGCTCAACCAGGAGGTGAGTTACCTCTTCATGATATTAGAATAAAGGATGGACACAGATACAGAGAGACGCTGGTGGCAAGCTTTGGGAGCTTAAATGATCAAGTCAGTTTTTACATTTCATCATGGAAAAAGATGAAATCAAGGTCCAGTCAGTCTTTCATTTACCATGAGCAACTCATCTGTGCCACAAGCTAATCCAGGCTCTAGGAAAATGGTAATAAAAAAGTGGTAGAAATCCTAGTCTTCTCGTTGGAGATGGACAATAGACAAATATATATATAATACATCAGGTGGGTACTAAGTGCCATAGAGGTGAAAAATAGAGCAGTGAAGCGGCAGTAAGGAAAGAGGGTGGTGCACTTTATGTAAGGTGATTAAAGAAGGCTTCACCTGTCTGATGCCAGGCGGAATAGCAAGTACAAAGGCCCGAGGTGGCAGTGTGTCTGATAAGGGGAATGTAGTGGGACGTGAAGTCACAGAGGAGATGGCGCCAGCTTGCTCTGGGCGTTGCAGGTGATTGCAAGGACTTTGGCTTTTACTCTGCATAGTGTGAGAAGCCTTAGAAAGGCTCGGGTAGAAGAGTGACATCATCTGACTTGTTCTAAAAGAAGCAGTGTGGCCAGGATGGAAGGAGGGTGACTAGAGCTAGGAGGCTGCTTGTATTGATTAGGGCGGTAACTGTGTGATGGGAAGACGTGTTCATATTGTAGATGTGTCAGGAGTGGGGCCATCAAGATTTACAGATGGACTCGATGTGGGATGTGAGAGCATGAGAAAAGTCAAGGACAATTCCGAGGTTTT